CTATGAACATAGGGGTGCATATATTCTTTCTGTTTGGTGTTTCAGGATTCTTAGGATATATTCCTAGAAGTGGGGTCACTGGGTCAAAAGGCAGCTCCATTTTTAGTTTTTTGAGTAAACTCCATACTGTTTCCATAGCGGCTGCCCCAGTCTGCATTCCCTCCAGCAGTGCACTAGGGCCCCCTTTCTCCACACCCTCGCCAGCACTTGCTGTTTGTTGATTTGTTGATGGAGCCATTCCGGCAGGTGTGAGGTGATAGCTCATTGTGGTTTTAATTTGCATCTCTGATGGTTAGTGATGTTGAGCATTTTTTCATATGTCTATTGGCATCTGCATGTCCTCTGGAGAAGTGTCTATTCAGGTCTTGTGCCCATTTCTTAATTGGGTTATTTGTCCACGTCCCTGGTAAAAGTTCCCACCGCTCTGCAACTTTTTTAGTTTCCATCTTGCCCTCGGTTCTAGTGAAGCCATAGAGTTGGGGAGGCCACAGCCCCCTCCCTGACAAACACCGCAGTTCCCTACCCTGACTTCTGGCTGTGGGACTGCAAGGCCTGGTCCAGCATGGAGGTGGGCAGCGAGGCCAGGCAGTGGTGGCCAGGTGGGTGTGCTGGGTTGAGGTGGAGGCCCAGCGGCCTGGGGTGTGGGGTCACCATGGTAGCTGTGGGGCAGAGGGCCCTGGGCTGCAGTGGTGGGGCCAGGCACACTGGGCTGTGCAGAGAGGCCAGGAGGCTGGGTCGAGGCTGCTCCCTGCAGCCACTCCCGTGGAGGACCCTGCAGATCCTGCAAAGGGGTACACTTTCCAATCCCCAGTGGCAAGAATCACCCTGGAGGAGCAGCCCACGGAGGTTGCTCCGTCTCCTCCACTAGTACAGCCCGAAACACCCGCCCAAGTGCCCCCGCCTACAGACAGACACCCACCCACCCACACTCACGTGTACCCATGCTTTCCCTCGCACACGCTCACCCACTCACACTCTCACACTCACTCTGCCCCTGCCTGTTGCCATGTTGGTCTCCCAAGACACAGTTTAGGTTCTGTTAATTTTCCCCCACCCCCTTTT